CCCCAAAACCCCAAAACCCCAAAACCCCAAGTTATTATTAATTTGTTGTAAATATGATTTCGTGCTCAAAGGTATACCTTGTTAGTAAATGTCTTTAAATGAAATAGTTCTAACTTGCAAAGCTGCTGCATAGCATCTCAGCCAAGCAGAAGTTTTCTCAACAGTGAAACTCTATTCGTTTCGTTAAAATTAGTCTTTTTAGGTAGCTAAGGAAAAGTCAAAATTCTCTAAGATTAGAATCATGACGAAAAAGAGAAAGGAATTGGAAGATAATCATACTTCTTGGAAAATACAAGCCCAAAAGCCATTTAAGGTACAAATATATTTGGGAGTTATTTGGCATAGATTCAGATTAACAAAGCTGGTTCAAACTATTATAATTTACCCCAAAATAAGAAAAATAGACTAATTCTCAAGCAAAATAGGTATTTTTAGCTTTATCATTCTTCAAGCTAGACCTTACACTAATCAATATAGTCAGAGTAGGAGATATCATAGCCAACTGTAAGCTCTTAGATAACTCCATAGCTCAAAAATAAAATAAAAATCAATTCCAAACCAGAACATGTCCTCAAGAAGACAATACTCCAACACCTCAAATAGAATTCTCTCCAAATCACATTGGTTTTCCTTCTGTATTTGTGAACAAAACATTGAGTAGAAGAGAGGCTACTTCCCAAAGCACAAGGCTAAAATAGCTTTATAAAGAAAGTCACGTTCATGAAGAACATCAGAAGGAACAGGAGGAATAAATAAATCAGTTGCTAACAGTGGAAATCAGGACCTCAAAGACCTAGAATTTGACACCTCGTTTAGCATAGACTGCACTATTGAAGAACATAGTAGAGAACGAGCAGCTGAGAAACCTCCCATACCTCCTCCTTGCATCCAGACTCCCAAAATTATGTTCACTATTGATGACAAGGGGAAGGACATTAAGACTTATCCTAAAATAAAAGGACTCAACAGGAAGCTTACAGGTATTAAGAATTAGTTAAGCCATAGAAAACCTTAAACAGACAAGATCAATGGGTAAAGTTCACAAGGCCTCAGTGAATCATATAAATTTTTCATTCAATAAACTTCCTCTGGGTATGGAAAAGTCATACAAAAAGAGAATATCTGAACTTCAGCTAAACTGCAAGCAAGCCAACATCTGAAACAGAACGAAATTGTAAGCTTATTCTATTCTAAATTGCCTATTCTAATATATGTGCTAGAAATACTCCAAGTTCCAAATCAATTTCAATTTTCAAGACAGTAATTGGGTCACCGTTTAGCTCGAAATGTGAGACCTGCAAAAGATCTTTAAGGAAGAACCAATATAAAGTAAGCCTTAGCCTTAATATTCTAGAGATGATGTATAAAGAGCCAAGTGAAGATATGGAAAAGAGGCAATGATTAGTCTCTTATTTTAAGATCAGGATTCCTTCCTCAGCTGGAGTATAAATATCGAATTCAATAAATTTTAATTAAGAAGGGGTTTTGGGGTTTTGGGGTTTTGGGGTTTTGGGGTTTTGGGG